CACCTTCAGAGAGAATGGCCCTGCAGACCCTGGAGGTAATTCATACATAAATGAAGCCCCAAAGTCTCTCTATGCTACTTGTATGTCAGTTTTGATGAGTGATCCCATGATGAACCTGGAACTTGAGGCGTATATAAATCCAGAGCTAGTTTCAGAATTTGGCAGGGGAACAAGCTTGAGAGTAGGGACTGCCCTTATTGGTTGTTGGGAGAGCTAACATATAAAAGTGACATGCTCTTTAGTGTCTTGTGGTCAAACCATATTTTTCATCCCATCTTTGTCAGCCTACTTCAACATTTTTCATTTTGGTCTTAACACTCATCAAATAGATGCATCACTCAGTCTCCTTCTGAGCTACCCTTGAATTCAACAGCTGATCCAGGTCCCAACCAACCTGGGAATTGTGCAAGCGCTGAGAAGTCCGTGCTGTGAAGCTGAGGCTGCCGCAGAACACTTTCCTGGGCCTTCTTTTTCTAGCCTCTTTCTCATCCTCCTTTGCTTTCTCTTCCTTTTCATTCCCCTTTTCACTCAGATATAGATGTTTTATCTGGTTCCTAATTTCGTGGGCCTTAGGGACTGTTTAGAACAAGATAGAAAAGAGCCAGAGATTTGAGTGGTCTTGCTTAGCTCTTTCCCTGAATTCCTGTGGCCTCCTTGACATGCCGTTCCTCTTCTTCTTGCAGTTAGGTGGAGATAGTCTTTCTCTGTCTCCCTGAATGTTGGTGCGGGGATTAATTTTCTAATGTTAGTAAAGCATCTGGAAGTTGATCAGTGCTAGTTATTACTACACTGATATCTTCTCCTTTGGTCTAAATACCCAGTAACCTGAGGTGAAACAGGCTCCAGTTAAAGAGTTGTTGAGATAACTATGACCTCAACACAAGAGTTTCAATGGATCTTCTTCTTTCATAAACTTTTTCACTCTGTATTAGTCACTCTGTCCAACCCAAATCAGTAAGTTGGAAAGAGTGAGTTAGTATGAGGGGAGGGAAAATGGAACCTACATATTCTTTTTTGCTCTAGGAACAGAATATACTTTTAAAAAAAGAAAAGGCTGAAAGAGTTTTAGTAGCTGAAGCAGCCCCAGCTAGCCTAATAGCAGGGAATTTTTAACTTAAAAAAAATGATATGTATTTTTTTTGGGGGGAGGCACAATCTCCCTTGGTCACCGTGGGTAGAGTGCCAAGGCATCAATCATCCTAGCTCACAGCAACCTCAAACGCTTGGAATTGAACAATCCTGTTCCCTCAGCCTTCAGATGGGATTGAGCTCACCATGCTGTGCTTGGGAATAATTTCAGACATAATGTTTTTTTGTTTCCCTGCTTCCTTTCCTTCACCTTCTTTAGAACACGATCAGCTTGGCTGGGCACAGTGGTTCACACCTATAACCTTACCACTTTCAAAGGCTTAGGCAGGTGGATTGCTTTAGCTCAGGAGTTTGAGACCAGCCTGAGAAAGAGTGAGACCTCATCATTATTAAAATAGAAAAATTAGCCAGTCATTGTGACTGACACCTATAGTCCCAGCTACTCAGAGGGACAAAGCAAGAGGATCACATGATCCCAAGAGTTTGACGCTGCTGTGAGCTGTGAGATCACTGCACTCTAGCCTGAGCAACAGAGTAAGATTCTTTCTCAAAAAAAGAAAGAAAGGAAAAAAAGGTCAGCTCTTGAGTCACTGATGACTACAGCATCTACAGCGGAAAGCTGGGACAGAAACGGAAGCTTCACGTCTGTTTCAGGCACCATGTTTTAATAAAATGCAGATACAACACCAGAACTGTTGCATTAACATTGGATTATCTTTGGGGACCAGGAAGGCTGGGTTTGTAATGGGAGTTGTCACTAGGATAAGAGCACAAATACCTGATCCTGACAAAAAGTTATAAAGGCTTGAAATAGTGAGGCTTACATAGCACAGGGTATGGTTTTTGAAACCCTGTTTTTTAACTTTTTCTTTCCTTTTGGAAGTCATTTGCTCTCATGGGAAGCCTTCTATCTACAAGCATTTACATGGTATTAAAATGACAGCTCTTCACACAGGAATGGTGGAAAATGCCCACTCTAAGAATTCTCACAGCAGAGTTTACCATATCCACACAGGGCTATTCAACAATCCACAAAATAGTTTAGGGCTTTGGATTTATTCTACTTATTAAACATACACTTGACGTGTGGGTGAGTTTGTGATTCCACCAGTAAGTAGGTCTGCATTTGACTATTGATATTTGTTGGTGAGGTTTATTTTGCAAACTTAATATTGTTCTTGAACAATGATGCCTAGTCATGTTCACATTTAAATGACTGATTCTGGTCAAAGTTAATGGATCATATCTGACTAGGTAAGTAAGATAGTCACTTTGGGAGAATAATTTGCAGCTTTTCCGGTCCCATTTAATGAGCTGGAAAAGTAATTTACTAAGTTTAATGTAGAAGCTGGAAAAAATTTATTCAGAAACCTCCCCACCCCAACACTTTATGCCTTGAGACCATAGTTTATTCACCTTGTAGGGTCTGGTACATTGCCTTCTTTAATGATTCATTTGGATCTCTTGAAGATGCTCTTGTTCTGTTGGGCGGGGGAGAAGTGTTCTTACAAAGCAATAAGCTAAAGCTAGATTTTCAACATGTACATAAATTCCTAAGGAGAGAATAAGTCAGGTAGTCATTCACATTCTAGTATAAATAGCCTTACAGCAGGGGAATTTCTATGAAAGTAAAAAAGGGAGTCTTTATTTGGAATTATTCGAAGGAAGGTATTAAACTATGAAGCTGATCATTGTGTGATGAATTCTTCCCAGGAGAACTTTGGGAAGGACGAGAGGAAAAGGTATTAAAATTATCAGTACTAAAGATGTCCTTGGCTGGCTTTATAATTTTTCCAAAGGAAAATTATAGCCTAGCATAATGATACCATTTCCCAAAGGATACTTTTTTTTAACCTGTTTAAAAATGGGTGGATCTGCCATGACTTCCCCATCCTAAGTTTCACTGAGGACATCACCATCTTCCAGCTGGTATGCTATGGGGACATTTCACACACTGTCTCATCCCCATTGGATTGATGGGCAAATACTTACCTGATGCTTACTCTGCACAACACTGAGCATTTTGCAAGTTTTAACTGATTTAATTTCCATAACAACCCTCTGTTATAGGGACTATTATTTCCCACTTTACAGACACAGAAGTGAAGATGCAAAGACGTTTTCTGACTTGCCCAAGACCTTACAGCTCCACAGCTAGTAAGTTGTGTAACACAGATTTTTATTTGGGCCTTTTTTTTTTTTCTTGACACAGAATCTCACTAGGCTGCCCTGGCTAGAGTGTTGTATAACTCACAGCAAACTCAAACTTCTGGGCTCAAGAGCAAACTTGAGCAAACTCCTTCTGCCTCAACCTCCTGTGCAGCTAGGTCTACAGACATGTGCTACCACCCTCCACTAATATTTTGATTCGCTCAGGATAGTCTTAAACTCCTGGACTCAAGTGATCCTCCTGCCTCAGCCTCCCAGAGGATTACAGGCCCAAGTCACCTGCCCGGCTTGCTCAGGCCTCTTATCTAGCTCCAGAGTTGGCACTTGTAATCACCATTGTATTTGATATTATCCTTGTTAGTAAGTATATGGAAGCACAGGGGATAATCACTTGTCCAGAGTCACATAGGCAATAAACAAACAGCTGGGACTCAGACTCAGGCAGTCTATACACAGAACCTACAAAACTCAGTCCTTACACCGTCCTGTACATCATCTCTACTGGGATCACTCATTCCTAGTTCGCTGGTCATTGGTGTTAGCTTAAAGTCATACACACATTTCCACATCCATACAAATGCCATTGTGGCACTTAAGATAACGTAATAATAAAAATATAAAGAGAAGGAATTCATTTTATTCTTTAGGTGGCTTACTATCTAGGTTAATTCTGGGTAGATTTTGAGTTGTGGCTTGTGAAGAGAGGGTGAAATTGTCATTGAATTAGTTGACAGTATCAAAGACGATATCAACCTCATCTAGAGCAGTGCTTCATAATCTTTAATGAGCACTTGAGTTATTTGAGGATTTTGTTAAAGGGCAGATTCTGATTCAGCAGAAGTGGATGGCCCAAGACTTTGCATTTCTAGCAAGCTCCCAGGTAAAGCTGATGCTACTGGACCAGGGCCTGGATTTTGAGTAGCAAGGCTAAAGCATTAAGTTTTTCCAAAACAAGCCTGAAGATTTATCCCAGGGACCCGGAGTTCAAGTTGGACAGAAAGTATTTTTATAGATAGAAAAAATTTACGTTGTCAACACTGGCCCAAGGAGAATGGCCTTGTGCTAATATCTGAGCTACACAGATTCTCTGCATTAGAAGGGACTTTAAAGGGCATCTGGCCCAGTGATCCCTACTGAATCCTCTTACATAGATACCTGCTCATCTAGGCCCTTGAGGTAAAGAATGATCTGTGGTGAATGAAAATGAATAGAAGAAATTAACAGAACAGAAGAAATTTCAAGATGGCGCCTGAATCACAGAACTAAAGATGGGGGAGAGGTCGTGAGGTTTCACCCTGGCTGGGTCGACAATTTCTCTGAGCTTTTGGATATTGGGTAGACATTTCCCAGAGCTTTTGCATATTTATTCAAAAATTTTCAAACCTTACCATTTCATAATAAAAACAACCACACTGTTCCCGAGAAACAGCAGGGAGTGGTTTTCGCCCCAAGCCTGTGCCTCCCGCTGTGAAGTAAAGATTCAGTGCTGACTGGCAGGTGAGGAACAGTGACAGATGTGTGGCAGCTGGGCTGCTGCTTGGCTGTCCTGACTATACATCCCAGGGCCCTTGAGACAACAGATATTTTCAAGAATCAAGAATCCTGAGATCATGATTGGGTTCTTTCCATTTCAATTTTGCAACCTGAACCAAAAGACACTCGTACTTTTGAGTCTTCTGACTGGGGAGATGCCAACTTCTCTTTTCTAGTGCGGTTGTTTGACAGTTCTCTTTCTGTTTCAGGTGCCAGGAGACAGTGAGAAACAGTGGAAACCAGCCCTGGTTGTACTGACGGAGAAAGACCTTTTAATCTACGACAGCATGCCACGGAGGAAGGAAGCCTGGGCCAGCCCCGTGCACACATACCCTCTTCTTGCCACCAGGTAGCCATGGCCTGTGTTTGGAGATGATGTGTTTGCAGTTTGATACCATTTTAATCATTTACAATTATTCACATCATATTGGTGTTGACTGGTTGCTCCAGGGACTGAGAGCTCCTTAAGAATAAAGCCACCCTTTTTTAGCCAGATTGATTATCACATATGGCATATATGGCCACATATGAGTCCAAGAGGAGAATGCTCATTGATCATCAAAAAACAGTGACAATTATGAGATGGCCACAGTCTAGCCATCTTCCCAGGTCTCTATCTCAATCCCTTTGAAATGAACCCCATGAGTTCACGGTGTTGAAGTACAAGGAGAATCACCAAGAAAGGATCTTCACTTGGTGGCAGAAAAGAATGTCATGTGGACATGTCCACGGTGAGACTGTGCTTTCTAACGTGTGCTCAGCATGACATCCCAGAACAAGTTCTTCCTTAGTTCCGTAATGCTTCCTGTGGAAGTGGGCTGCCAGGCTTTGTCTGTGTCTTAGGCCCTTTGATGCACAATTTATTACTGATGTGAAATACAGTCTTTTAAAAAAATATTTTGTTGAGATATGATGACATGCAAAGGCTATACATATTCAGTAACATGAATAACAATTTCTTCAGAGAAGACATAGAAGTAGCCAACAGGCATTATGAAAAGGTGCTCAACATCACTTATCCTCCAGAAAATGCAAATAGAACCCCAGTGAGATATCATCTTACGTCCGTTAAGATGGCTATTATCAAAAAAACAAATAAGAATAAGTGTTGGTGAGGATGTGGAGAAAAGGGAACCCTTGTACACTGTTGGTGGGAATGTAAGGTGGTACAGCCATTCTGGAAAACAGTGTGGAGATTCGTCTAAAATTAAAAATAGAACTACCATATGAGCTGGCAATCCCCCTTCTGGGTATATGGCCAACAGAATTGAAAGCAGCATTTTTAAAGAGATACCTACATCCCATATCCATTGCAGCATTATTCACAGCAGCCAGAGCATGAACTACAGTCTTAAAGTGTCATATCTTTATCTGTTTCTTTGAAGAACAAAAGTGAATCCAATCTGAATTTTGTCTACAAGTAGGTGACAACTCCCAGACCTGACCTGGGTTGCCAGCTCTTCCTGTAGGCTCGTTGTGACAAGGCCATCATTTCCTTACCAGTGAGTTAGGCGCACTAACGTAGTGATTGTGTGCTTCCTGACGTGGTGCTTGGCAGTATGGGGCTCTCCAATGTGTTTTGAATGAATTATTGAACAATGTGGAAAAACCTTTGGAAGAATTTAGTCCCGTGGTTTGGTCCAACAAGCAAAACATAGTGGACTTAGGTTTGGGGGCATCTGTCTTGAGCAAGAGGTAGACAAAAATAAAACAAGTTCCCAGTCCTGGAAGCCCTGGGTGCCAGACAGGTTAGAGTCAAAGCTCAGGATAGGAAATAGAATGAGTCACAGTTGCAGAGCAAGAAGCAACTCAAGATTAAAATGCCAACCATGAATAAAGCAAAACTCCAGAAAATTCCTTCTTACTTTCAGTACTGACTGATAATGTAAACCAGCAAGGGTGGCCTAAAGATGAAAGTATTGCCCCAGCAGTGAACAGAGGAAGTCTTCAGAGGCTAGAGACCAGGCCTAGATCACTTAGAAAAATGAAAGTGATTTAATGTGAGCCTCCAAGCTTCAAAATCTTTGACAGAATAGCTATTAAAATACAATACAGCATTCTAAAAAACCCACACTATTCAGAAGCTAAACATCCTTAAATGTTCATACAAGGATTCAGGCTATGCCTTCAGGCCCGTTCAAATCCATCCCAATTGCTTTGCTTTCTGTGGTTCACATCCACAACCCTCGTACATGGGCAATGACCTTCAGAATCTGAGATATTCCCAAAGATGAAACTAAAGAAGTTAGACCACAGTCACTGTATCCAGGTACTAAGGAGGGAGGTTGGACTCAGTCCTCTTGAAATGATTTTTAGGTACAAAAGTTGAAATAAGAGAGAATTTTTAGAACTCTCAGATAGCAAGAAAATAGAATGAACTCTAGTACATAGATTTCTTTTGTTTTGCTTTTTAAAAATATTTAGTCCTTTATTTATTTATTTGGAAATAAGATCTTTCCAAGGCTAATGTTAGAGTATAGTGGTATCATCATAGCTCACTGCAGTTCAAAACTCCTAGGTTCCACAAGCCCTCCTGTTTCAGCCTCCCAAGTCACTAAACAGGTGCCACCAGGCCCGGCTAATTTTTCCTTTTTTTTTTTTTTAGAAACAGGGGTCTCACTATGTTACTCCAGCAAAGTGCTAGGATTATGGGCATGAACAACTGCATCTGACCCACAGCTTTTGCCTCCTAGTTTCTGGGCATTCAGAATTAATGAAGACTGCCTTTTTATTCATTCATTCATTCATTCGTCAATATGTAACAAATATGGGTCAAAATGTATTGATGTGCAGGGAAGTATGCAAGGAACCCTTCAGAGCAGAGACAGCAAAACATGCCCAATTCACAGTGTAAGTCACCTTTGAATTGAAAGGGAGAGGACTTACTGGAGGAAAATGGGGTAAGCCGAGGGGGCAGGGTGGGGAGTCAGAGCCCGGGAAGGGAATAGCCTTGGGGGTTGAGGGGAAATGGATCAAACGCTTGCTAATTACTCAGTGTTTGACACAAGTTACCTCCTATGTGTTTTGTGTCCATTCTGCACCGCCTATGTTAGTGTACCTGTCTTTCAGGGTAGGAACCTGAGGCTAAAAAGAGTTAAGAAATTTCCCCCAGGTTGCAAAGCTTCTAAGAGGAGAGGTGAGATTCTAGCCCCTCTGGGGCCTGTGACTCACATACCTGTGCTTGGTACCACTGGGGATTGGCATGGGGTGGGAGGAAGATTTTTCATCATATATCCTTTTAAGCCCTTTGACGTTGCAACAACAGGGAAAGGTAGGAGTCCCTGGAGTTGGACGTGAACTGGGAAGATATTTTTTACTTTCGGTATCAAGTAACACATGTCCAGGGGGTGACTGCTGAATCCAAACAATTCTGCGGTGATCTCTATCCCATGGTAAAGAAGGAAATAAATAAGAACAAAACCAAATTTCTGTGAAGATAGAAAATACTCAGCTGTAGGAAGAGATGAATTGCTCCTCAGCTTTCCCGTGGTGTGATGGGGGTTAGAACTGGTCTCCCACACCCTTCGGAGGACTTGGGACCACAGAGAAGGGCTCTGCCTTCAGTCTGGCTCTTCAGAAGCAGGTCAGGAGACCAGGACTGATGTGACAGTGAGTTATGAAGCAAGTGCAGAAAGACCTGGAAGACACAGGGGAAGGACAACCAGAGGAAGAAAGCAAGGGAGGGTGTGATTTCAGGCAGAGTCTCAGCCTGACCCTACAGGGAGCTTGAGAGCTGCGCTGCTCAGCAAGGTACCCTCTAGCTGGCTACATGGGGATATTGAAATTATGTTAAACTACCATTTAAAATTCATTCCTAAAAATAAAACAAATAAAATAAAATAATGAAATGAAATGAGATGAGATGACACTCAGTCCTTCAGACTCATTGACCACACTTCAAGTGCCCACACCTACCTGTGGCTGGTGGCTGCCATTTTAGATAGCACAGATTTAAAACATTCCCATCACCATCAAAAGTTCTAGAGTGGCTCTAGAGGCTATAAATGATGCCTTCTGAGTTTGTCCTGATCAGGGCAAGTGGCTGGACTTGCACATTTTCACAGCAGTCCTGCAAAAGCTGAGCCTACATGGATGGGTCTGGGCTGGCAGGCTCTTCAAGGCCTCTGCACAGCAGGATGGTCCCAGGGGTGAGCCCTTAGAGGAGGGGCCCCAGGAGGAGGGACTGGTGGGCAGAAACAGTAAGTGGGTTTGGGTTGGGCACAGAAGATATCTGTCACAGGCTCCCAGGTGACAGGGATGCCTGCAGTGGGTCGCCACCCATTCTCACAATGGAGGAGAATGTTATTTATCCCAGATCATGTAAGGTAAGGACAGAGTTGTGGATAGTATCAGACACTCTGAGTTTCTATCCATGGCTTACCTAGCAGTACTTGTTAAACAAGTACATTTTCAGACCCATTCTAGACCAACTGAGTCAGAAACTGGGAAGCTGGGCCCCAGGCCATCTGGGATTTAATGAGCTCTCCAAATTTAGAAGCCCGTGCCCTGCTGCCTCCCGTTCTCCCAGGATGTGTGGGATCTCAATCCACCGGGGCTGCTACAACAAAATACTTTAGACTGGGTAATTTGGAAATAACATTAGAGAAATTAATTTCTCACAGTTCTGGAGGCTGGAGTTCAAGACCAAGGTGCCTGCAGATTGCACGTCTGGCGAAGGCTCACTCACTAACACAGATGGTGCCTGCTGCTGCGTCCTCACAGGAGAGAAGGGCAGAAAGGCAAAAAAAATAAAACGAGGGGGGGGGAGGGGACTAACAGACTTCCAAGCCTTTTAATAAGGGCATTAATCATTAGGTCCTCATGACCTAATCACTGAGAAGGGCCCCACCCTTAATACTGTTGCATTGGGGATTAAATTTCAACATGAATTTTGGAAGGACACAAACACTCGGATCACAGTGGTAGGAGAATCGCACAGTGAGAACATGGTTCCCTTTCCCCTCCTGGGTTTTCAGAAGTGCCATTTTGCCTCCTGCTGTGATGATCACTGATGGGTCAGTCACTTCAAAGATCGTCTGGTCCCCGTGCTCACAGACTCAGCCACAGCACCTAAAAAGCAGTATATGGCTTCCCTCCTGTTTCACTTAAATGATCTTTTAGCATTTTCATTAGTATTTTGCACTTTTTTCCTTCTTGCTTCATTTTCATATCTGCAGAGTGTTCATCACATGGGTGCTTCAAAGCCCCAGTTCTCAGAACTTGCAAACTGCCTCCAAATCCTCGCTTTGCTACTTACCAGCTTTAGACCCTCGGGCAAGTTTTGTAAACTCTTTTTGCCAAGTGTCCGTCGTCTATGATATGTAGACTTAACCTAACAGAGTTGTGATA